CCCTGAGCTGGGAATGCACAGCCAGACCATCCCTGAGCTGGGAATGTACAGCCAGACCATCCCTGAGCTGGGAATGTACAGCCAGACCATCCCTGAGCTGGGAATGCACAGCCAGACCATCCCTGAGCTGGGAATGTACAGCCAGACCATCCCTGAGCTGGGAATGCACAGCCAGACCATCCCTGAACTGGGAATGCACAGCCACACCATCTCTGAGCTGGGAATGCACAGCCAGACCATCCCTGAGCTGGGAATGGACAGCCAAACCATTCCTGAGCTGGGAATGTACAGCCACACCACCCCAAGCTGAGAATGCACAGCCACACCATCCCTGAGCTGGGAATGCACAGCCAGACCATTCCCAAGCTGAGAATGCACAGCCACACCATCCCTGAGCTGGGAATGCACAGTCAGACCATTCCTGAGCTGGGAATGTACAGCCAGACCATTCCCGAGCTGGGAATGCACAGCCAGACCATCCCTGAGCTGGGAATGCACAGCCACACCATCCCCAAACTGGGAATGTACAGGCTTGGAAGGACCTGGGATAGGTGAAAGTGCCCCTGCCCGTGGCAGGGATGGTCTGCAAAGCCCTTCCAACCCAAACCCTTCTGGATTCTATGAAACAGCTGCAATTCTGCCCAAGATTTTGCTCTTTTCTCTCCCACTTGTGACACCAAGGAAACACCAAGCCTAGGGGGACATAACCTGAGGGGAAAATCCCGGTTTTCAGCCTTTCTTTGGCATCAGCATAAGGAAAAGGAAAGAGAGATGGTGGTGGGAACACCCAGGGCTGTGGGAATGTGAAACCTCTCACTCTGGCACTTGCTCTCCAGAAAGGCCAAGCCCCGGCTGCGGGGCTATGTCGCGATATAAAGCACTGTGTCAGGAATTCCACGGGAATTCACCGCAATTCCCGACCCTTCCAGCCACGGGGAGGAGTTCCAGCTGCTGACCCGAGCCGGCTCCCAGGGATGATTAAAGCCAGCCGAGCACAAACCACATTCCCGGCGATCCCGGGGTTATCCCCCATTCCCGACTCCCCTTTTGTTCCCGCTCCGAGCATTCCCTGGAGACACCCCGGCCCTGCTCCCGCTCCTCCTGAGAGATTCCCGGCCCCAGTGACCGGGAAAGGCGAGTGGAAAAGCCGAGAGGCTGCGAAGGATGAGCTAATGCAGCTCCTGCAGCGCTGCCCAGCCCAGCCCAGCCCCGCCGTGACAAGCACACCGCCCCAAATCAATCCCCAACCACGCTCCCAAAGCCCCGAGCAGCGGAGACAATGGGGAGCGACACCCCAAATTCGCCGGGAATGTGGTTTGTGCTCGGCTGGCTGGGGACCGAGCCTCACCTTTGTTTCCACACCAACACAACGCGAGCTGAGGTTTTGGGGGCACCCCCCCAGCCACGTCTGATCCCCCTCTAAAAACCATACTTGCCCCCAAAAAGGCATATCCCCCCCACCCCCCAAGCTGTTTCCTCCCCGACGAGCCATGCTCTCCCCCTAAAAGCCGAATTTCTCCCCAAAAAAAGCCATTTCCCCCCATCACCAGCACTGCCAGCCTGTGCCTTGGCACTGCCCCATGCCAGCACTGAATTTTGGGGTAACGGGGCTTTTAGGGGGAAAATTGAGCTTTATTTTTTTTTTTTTGGGGGGGGGGGGCGGATATGGCTTTTTTGGGGGAAGGATGGAATTTGGGGGACAAACCTGGCTTTTAGAAGGGAAACATGGCATTTGAGGCAAAACATGGCTTTTAGAGAGGAAAATAGAGGTCTTAGGTGAGAAACGTGGCTCTTTTGGGGGAAACGCGAGGTTTTCTGGGGAAGCACGGCTTTTAGGGAGAACGTAAGGCTTTTCTGGGGAAACAGGAGGTTTTTGGGGAAATGTCCTTTTTGGGGGGAAACATATATTTTAGGGAGGAAGCACAGCATATTGTGGAAGAAACATTGCTTTCGGGAGGGGGGGAAGCATGGCTTTTTGGGAAGGAAACACGGCTTTCAGCGGGGAAATACGGCTTTTTTAAAGGGCAACACGATTTTCAGGGGGGCAGGCTTCGCTTTCTCCCCGCCCTGAGGCTGCCAGAGCTGGGAAGGGGCTTCCCCCTCCCAGAAGGGGCTACAGCCCCCCGTGGGCTCTGCCTTTGCAGCCACCCCCAAAACGCTGTGAGGGCACAGGGACTCCCCCCACCCTCCACCCTCCACCCTCAAATGTGCTCCCCTCCACACCAGGCCTGTCCCGCCCCGAGAGGCCCGCTCCCCGGGGAAGGGGGGAAGGGGCTCTCCCGGGGAAGGCAAACCGCGGGGCCGCTCTCACCTGCCGCCGGGCCGGGCCGGGCCCTCAGGGCCCTCAGGGCTGAGGGCGGCGGGGCCGCTGCGTCGCCCCGGTGACGGCTCCGACCGGCGCCGCCATCTTCCCTCCCCGCCCTCCCGCCGCTGCCCCGGCCGCGCACTGCGCAGGCGCAGGGCCGCCCCCCACACGTGTGTGTGGGGGGTGTCGTTATGGTGCCGCCATGATGGGAAGGTCAAGTCTTCGCTTTGGCGGCGCAGCGCGGGGATCGCCATGTTTGGCCGGTTCCCGCCGCCATGTTGGGACGGTCTTAGCGCCATAGTGGGCGAGGCGGGCGGGCGAGGCCGCCATGTTGGGGAGGTCGGCGCTGAGGCAGCGGTGCCGGGGCGGGTCCCGTTCCTTGTGCCGCTCCTTGTCCCGTTCCTGTCTCGCTCTCTCCCGGTGTCCCGCCCTCATCCGCAGCCCCGGGAGGCGCGGCTGGGCCGCGGGGACCCGCTCTGCCCGCAGGCAGCCCCGCCGTGTCCCTGCGTGCCCCTCAGAGGCGGGGAGCGCCTGAGGGCTCGGCAGGGAGGCGGGATGTGGCTGTGCCCTCAGGGCTGCCCCTCTCCCCACGGAGGTGAGGAAGGGAGGGAGCGGAGCCCATTCCATGGGGGAAGCAGCTCTGTGCGGGGCTGGGATAACCCGGGAGGAGCCGAGGGATGTCCCTGTGCAGGGCTGGGATAACCCGGGAGGAGCCGAGGGATGTCCCTGTGCAGGGCTGGGATAACCTGGGCACACACCTGCGGTTTGTCCCCTGTGGAAATCCAGAGCTTCCCTCTGGCTGCCCTGGCAGGGCTCAGAACCCCCCTGGACAGAGCCCCCAGAGACACTGTCTGTGATCTCTGTCCATGGAAAAGAATTTTCAATCTTACAGGGTGAATTACCAGCTCTGAGTGTTTGATATCAGTAATAATTAAGTGTGGCACGGGTGCAAAGGTAAAATTTTAGGATTCTAGATTAGGGGTCCAAAGGGCACAAGATGGAGGAAATTGGGTGTGTCTTGTCCTTTTTCTCCTTCTTCATGCCCTCCATGTTTCACTGTGGTGTTGGCATTTTTCTGTTGGTTCAGGCTGGGGACACACTGTCCAACGTAGGTGACAGATATTGGCACGTTATTGTAAATCCAGCACAGGTAGTTTGTGGTATTTAATGTTTGTACCATCCCACTGAGGGCAGAGCCCCACACGCTGCCCTGCAGGACAGAGCTGCGGCAGGGCAGCAGAACATGTTAGAGATAAGCAAGAATAAACAGCCTTAAAAACCAACACAGACAAATTATAGCTTCTTCTTTAGCAACGGGACAAAAAAACAGAGACTTCCTACAATCTCAGAATCATCAATACCACAAATTCCAACAGTCCCCCTCCAGGTGAGCCCCCTTGGTGTGTGACAAAGCCATCAGAGACTCAGGGTCGGGGCAGAACGCAGGATTTGTTTTAGCTGGAGGATTATTGGGATATTTTTAGGAGTCCAGTCGCCATCTGCCGGCAAACTCTGGCTCTTGGGTGGGAATTTGGGGAAAAATTCCGGATTTTAGGGCAGGTTCTCTGACTCCCCGTGTGAACATCGTGGGGTTTTTAGGATGCTGAAGGGGCAGTTAATTTTTGAGCGAGGAAAAGGAAAAGCAAATCCCACCCCAAAAACCTTTGTGTGGCTCAGAGCTCAAAGGACAACATCGGAGTGGTGAATATCTTGGATATAAATGAGAAAGGTTTGAGAAATTATGTGGGCTTGGGGAATTTTGGATTTTTCTGAAGGCTGGAGATGATCCTTGTGCTCCGTAAGAGCAGCTTTGGGCTTACATGAAGAGACACAAATTGGATGGAAGGACACACAGCCACCTGGATGTGTGCTGGAGGGATCAGATGCTGGATTAGTGCCTGAAATAGCCTAAATTTGGGGAGAGATTTGTCCAATAACCCGAAATTAGGGGAAAACGCCTCAAAATTAAGAGAAAACACCCTAAAACTAAGAGAAGAGACCAAAAAATTTAAGCGAAAACAAAACTATAGAAAAACAAACAAACAAAAAAGCCCCCCAAATTAAGAGAAAGCACACCAAAATCAAGGAAAATCACCTAAAAATTAAGGGAAAACGCCTCAAAATTGTGGGAAAACACACCAAAATTAAGGGAAAGGCCCCAACATTAAGAGAAAGCACACCAAAATCAAGGAAAATCACCAAATCACCTAAAAATTAAGGGAACTCTCCTCCAAATTGTGGGAAAACACACAAAAATTAAGGGAAAGGCCCCAAAATTAAGAGAAAACACATCAAAATCACCAAATCACCTAAAAATTGTGGGAAAACACACCAAAATTAAGGGAAAGGCCCCAAAATTAAGAGAAAGCACACCAAAATCAAGGAAAATCACCTAAAAATATAAGGGAAATCACCTCAAAATTGTGGGAAAACACACCAAAATCGAGGAAAATCACCTAAAAATTAAGGGTAAACGCCTCAAAATTGTGGTAAAACACACCAAAATTAAGGGAAAAGATCTCACTAAGAGAAAACATCTCAAAACTTAAGGAAAACACAAAAATTAAAGGAAATCGCCTCAGAAACCCGCGCCGAGCCCGGTCCTCCCGGCCGCTAGGGGGCGCTGTGACGCCGCGCCCCGCCGCCTCTTCCCGCCCTTTCCGCGCGCCGCGCGTGCGTTGCCGGGCGCGGGCCGGCGGGCGGCGCGCGCATGCGCGGGGCGCGGGGCCCGGCGGCGGACGGGAATTAAAATGGAAGATGAGGAGGTCGCGGAGAGCTGGGAGGAGGCGGCCGACAGCGGGGTGAGGGCGGCGGTGCGAAACGGCGTGGCGGGCTCGGAGCACCTGGGGGAGGCGCGTGTGGGCGGCGCGGCGCGGTGCTGCTTGAGGAGGAGGCGGCGGGACGCGTCCGGCGGCGCGGCGGCGGCACGGTGCTGCTAGGCCTCTTAAAGGGACCGCGGGTCGCTCGGCGCGGGGGGTGCGCGGCGCCGCCAGCACCGCTGCTCCCGGTGCTCCCTGCCCGTCCTCGGTGTGCAAACCCCCCTGGGCTCGGTGGGGTCGCACGGAGCCCCACTTGCAGCAGGAGGGGCGAGCAGAGCGGGGATGGGTGACCCCGGCGGGGCTGAGGGCGCACCCCAAGGCCTTTCCCCGGTCGGAACGTGCTCCGTCACCGGGCACAGCGCCGGGAGTCCCGGCCCGGGGCTGGGGCTGGGCCCTCCTGGCTCCGGAGCTGGGCTGGCACACGGGGAGCCGAGTCTGTGAGTGCTCTGCTTGCACATAGAGCCGCCCCTGCGAGGGGAAACTCCGCTGGGTAAACTCTGTTTTCAGCGCAGTCCTGAGGATCAGAGGGCACACGGAGCTCCCTGTGGGCGAGGGATTGGGTTACACCTGGCCAGAGGCAGGGAGCAAAATCCAGCTGTAACCGAACGCCCGAGAGGGGCCAGTGCCAGGCTGGCAGCGCAGCCCTCCTGCCAAGGCCGGGGGCTCGGAGTTAATTCCAGCGCTCCATGCAGGGACACGGCTGCAGCCTCGGCAGCCCCATGACTGTGGCCGTGAGTAATGGTTTAAAATGGTCCTGATGCTCCAATCCTGCCATGGAGCGTCCTCGCAGTTTGTCCTTCCTGCTGGTACCTCCCAGGTGCTTTTCCTTAGAAGGAGAAATCCCTGTCACTTGTCCTTTCTCACACCCTTTGCCAGTCCAGACTGCTGGGAATTCGTGCTCATAACCTCAGCGGCTTGTGCTGATGAGCAGGGAGATTCCCTGAGGAATCACACAATCCTCAAAGTTGGAAAAGCTCTCCAGGATCGCTGAGTCCTCCCTGGGCCCAATCCCCACCTTATCACCCAGCCCAGAGAGTGCCACGTTCAGCCCTTCCTTGGACACCTCCAGGGATGGGCACTCCAAACTTCTCTGGGGAGTTCCAAGGCCTGAGCTCCCTTTCCATGGGGAAATTCCTGCTGCTGTCCAAGCTGAGCCTGTCCTGGCCCAGCCTGAGGCTGTTCCCTCTTCTGTCCCTGTTCCTGGGAGCAGAGCCCAACCTGGGGCTGTCCCCTCCTGTCAGGAGCTGTGCAGAGCCACAAGGTCCCCCCTGAGCCTCCTTTTCTCCAGGCTGAGCCCCTTTTCTGCTCCCTCAGCTGCTCCTGTAGGCCTGGCAGGAGGAGCAGCTGCTGTTGCAGTTGTTGGGCTCTGGATGCCTGTGGAGCAGTTGGAGGGGTGTGTGCAGGCTGGGAGAGGGGCAGGAGCCACCCCTGGGGATCAGGAAGGGGATTTCACTCTGTGCCTGGCAGGAAGGAGCCCTGGAGCTGCTGCTGGTGGTGCCCACAGGAAGCAGGATGGAGCCCAGGAGAGCCCAGCCTCCCCTTGTCCCGTGGTTCTCGTGATCCTGATGGATGCTGGTGCAGCTGGGGACGTTCAGGTGGCTCAAAGTCACAGCCAGGGGAGGCTCTGCTGTAGCACCAGCAGCTCTGATCTCTGCTGTGAGCAGGGACAGCACCCAGGGAAGGGCTGGAGCTGGGCCAGGGGGGTTTGGGCTGGAGATCAGGAAAGGTTCTTCCCCAGAGGGTGCTGGCACTGCCCAGGGAATGGTCCCAGCCCCGAGAGCTCCAGGAGCCTTTGGACAGGCTGGGATTGCTGGGGTGTGTGTGCAGGACCAGGGGTTGGACGCTGATCCTTGTGGGTCCCTTCCAGCTCAGGACATTCCCTGGTTCTGTGGTTCTCTTCCATCCAAGGCAGCACAAGGTGGATCCCAGCACACAGACACAGGGCTTGGCAGTCCTGGCTGGGCTCAGGAGGCTGCAGGAGAACAGAGACACCAAAGAGCAGCTCCAAACACACCCAGATCTGACAGTGCCAGGCCACAGGGAACGGGCAGGGATGGGTGGGATATTGGGAATTAGGAATTGTTCCCTGGAAATGTCCAAGGCCAGGCTGGACAGGGCTGGGAGCAGCCTGGGACAGTGGAAAGTGTCCCTGCCCATGGCAGGGGTGCCACTGGATCAGCTTTAAGGTCCCTTCCAGCCCAAACCATCTGTGATTCTGTGATGCTGATACTTCCCACTGTTGAGAACTTGAGTTATTTTATATTTTAGACCCTTCAGCACATGACGGAACAGTAGAGATGTAGCAGGATTTTGGGTTTTATGGGATACATTGTCTGTGTCCTAGCATGTAAGTTTTTAATATTTCACCCACTGTGTGTTCATTGGGAAAGCAAATACATGAGATTTTTAGTTCTGAGTGGTTTTTGTTTGTAGTTTTTGGTGAGGCTGAGAACTTTTGCTCAAGGCCTTAAAGAAGTTTTGTCAGCAAGAGGCAGCTCTGGGCTGAGCAGAGATCCCGTGGCCTCCTAATTAAAATTCACCTCATTTATCTGTTGCAGCTCTCCCAAATCAGGCACCAGGAAAATCTCATTAGGTTGAAGAAAACCCCCAGAAGCCCCATACAGCTCAGTTTGGTCACTCAGAGAGCTGTAAAACCAGTCCTCAGGTGATTGTTTGGGTGTTTAACGTGGCCTCAGTTTGTCTCTTCTCTTGTGCCATCAGAATTGCCCCAGAAATGGAGCAGCTCCTTGGGAATGTGCCACCCCTGGGTGCCCAGGGCAGGCAGTGTCCCCTGTGCCAGGGCCACGGGGTGCAGCAGAGCTCCGTGGGGCCTCTGGGTACCTGTCACCTCCCTGGTGGCTAATGAGAGCCTTGGAATGGGAGTTACAGATGGAAAACCAGGGCCTGAGTAACGTGTGAGTTGTCTGAGTAGGAGTGAGGGTGGAAAGGCCTTCAAAGGCCAGTGTGGGTCAGAAAACACTAATGAGCTCTAATTCCTGGTTTGTTTTTCTGTGGTGTTGAGTGGCTCAGCTGGCAAACACAAATGAGAGGTCAGTTGGTGACACTCAGGCCTGTTTACCTGGCTAAACCAATAATTAAATGTTAGGTGGGAAGCTGGGCTCCAAAACTGGAATGTGTCCATGGTCATGGGTGATCCTCAGCTTGGAATTGGTGCTTGGCAGATGGGTTCATTGGTTATTCCTTTGCCAACTAAGATTTGAATGTGTCAGAGTCTTAATAACTGATTTCAGGTCAGAATCTCTTTCAGCTTCATCCCAAGGTGGGGAGACAGCTCTGATCTCTCCTGTGAGCAGGGACAGGACCCAGGGAAGGGCTGGAGCTGGGCCAGGGGGGTTTGGGCTGGAGATCAGGAAAGGTTCTTCCCCAGAGGGTGCTGGCACTGCCCAGGGAATGGTCCCAGCCCTGAGAGCTCCAGGAGCCTTTGGACAGGCTGGGATTGCTGGGGTGTGTGTGCAGGGCCAGGGGTTGGACTCTGATCCTGTGGGTCCCTTCCAGCTCAGGACATTCCCTGGTTCCCTGCAGGTCAAACATTACTCTGGCAACCCAAAACAGGTGAAAAACCCCACAGAATAACCTCCTTGTGTGTCCTTTTCCCCCTGGAGTTCAGCTGCTGCCTGCAGTGTCCCCACGGATCCAGCCGTGCCTCAGGAGGGAAAAGCTGCCCCGTGTCATCGAGGATGGAGCAGCCCCAGGCTGGGGATGGAGCTTGGCCTGGCCTGGGGCTGTCCCCTGCTCGTGTCACAGGGCTCAGGGAGGGCAGGTCACCCCAGGAGGCAGAGTGTCTCCTGTCTGTCAGCCACACAAACCCATGAGGGTGGCTTTGGTGTCACCTGCCAGCAAAGGCTCCGGGTCACTGCATCTGAAGGTGTTGCTGCTGGCACTGGGAGGTGCTGGATGGGGTTGGAGTCCAGCAGAGTCAGAAGGGAAACGTTTTGGAGTGTGACAACACTGTGACCTCCCTCTGCTAATGACTGCTGTGGGCAGGGGCCAGGCTAAGGAGGCTGGGGTGTGCAGGAGCTGTGTCCACCAGGAAAAGTGGGATTTGGTGTCAGGGCTGAGAGGGGCATGGAATTCCAGAATGGTTGGGCTTGGAGGGACCTTAAAGCTCATCCCATTCCAACCCCTGCCATGGCAGGGACACCTTCTACTGACCCAGGCTGCTCCAGCCCTGTCCAGCCTGGCCTTGGGCACTGCCAGGGATCCTGGACAGCCACAGCTGCTCTGGGAATTCCATCCCAGCCCCTTCCCACCCTCAGAGGGAAGGATTTATCCCATATATCCCAATCCAAATTGTCCCTCTTCAGTTTGAAGCCATTCCCTGTATGCTGTCCCTCCATCCCTGTCCCCAGTCCCTCTGCAGCTCTCCTGGAGCCCCTTCAGGCCCTGGAAGGGCTCTGAGCTCTCCCTGGAGCTTCTCCTCTCCAGGTGAACATTCCCAGCTCTCCCTGGAGCTTCTCCTCTCCAGGTGAACATTCCCAGCTCTCCCTGGAGCTTCTCCTCTCCAGGTGAACATTCCCAGCTCTCCCTGGAGCTTCTCCTCTCCAGGTGAACATTCCCAGCTCTCCCAGCAGAGCTGCTCCATCCTCGGATCCCCCTGGAGCCTCCTCTGGCCTGGCTCCAGCAGCTCCAGCTCCTCCCTGTGCTGGGGCTGCTCTGCAGGTGCCGGGGGGCTCATTTGGGGGCAGAGGGGCAGGGACCCCTCTCCTGCTGCCACAAACCCAGGATGGACTTGGACTTTCCACACCAAAAAGATTTTGGGCAAACTTTCACCTAAAGTTTGCTTTAGGTGTTGTAACTGTTCCAGGTTCAGGTCCCCATCAACAGCTCTGGTGACCTCAGATCTTAAAACTTGTTTTTATTTCCTAAAGAAAAGAAAAAATGAAAAAAAAAAGACAGGATTTGGAGTTTGTCTGGAATTGCCAGAGCATCCAGTGGTGCTGTAAGGAGCAGACAAGGCTGTG